AACCGTTTTATGGCGAACGCGTCCTGTCGATTTTTTGAGTCCCGAGTACGTGTGCAGGTGTAGAGAGAGTAATTCAGTGGCCCTCTGGAAGGGTGGTAACCTGTGTTTGGATTTAGGACCGTTAAAAACTAGGTTCTTATATGGCCTAGTTGTGAATGTATACGGCCGCTTTTTGTGCAGGGCAATTCTGGCATTTCTCTATCAACCACAGGTGTCGTGGTACGTCTGCTGTGAGGGCCCGCACATTGTATTGGCATACGAGTCTTCTTGTATAAATGTTACCCAAATTGATCATTATGCATAGTATTAGTAAAGACACCTCAGTAGCAGTGGTGTGTGAATGAGAGTCAGGTTTCCTGTTGGATGTTTGACGACAGTAATGTTTGGCATTGGTCAAAAGTAGCAACAGGAGGATGATCGTGATGATGACGATGACAACGAGGGTGATGATGATGATGATGCCGACGAGGGTGAGGATGATGATGCCGACGAGGGTGATGATGATGATGCCGACGAGGGTGATGATGATGATGATGACGACGAGGGTGATGATGATGATGATGATGATGATAGCGACGAGGTGAAGATGTGAAACTAATGAATGTTTTCACGTTATGCTGTGAGCTCCCAAGGGAAGGCCTTAACACTCGAAGTCGTTGTATCGGGCCACATCGCGACTATCAACATGTCGCTGTGGGCGTAACATACACCTCCGCCACTGTCCTCTCCTCTTCCTGGCCTTCGCCAGGCAGCTAATAGACACCACAATGCTCCAGCTTTAGGGTCGACAGGAGACTGCTCATAACCAAAGCATAGCACCGCGTTTCAAGTGATGATGATAGTGACGATGATGGTGATACATGGATGGATACATCACCGATATAGTAACATTGGCATGCTTATATATCCTGCGCAGGATGCATGTATGTATTGCATTCGTCAACAAACAGCACATCTATGTTCAGAGCGCAGGTATTGAAGAGGGTCGCTCCTTGAATGGGGAGTGGGATAGTTGGGGAAGGAAAGAAGGCTGGGAATGCAGGTACATGCTAGCAAGTTCACCAGACCAACTCGCTGTTCAGCGCGTTAACAGATCTAGGGCTCCGCTTTAAAACAGATTCTGATAATGCAAGGCGGGACATGTCCTTTGTCGGGCGACTATGATACAATCGAAGCAAATTCTACTCTTTCGCCAATCGGTTACTCGACTGATCCATGCCAGTTACTGGGATATATGCTGTGCGTGTGCGTGCGTGCGCATGCATGCGTGTTGTGTATGTGTGCGTACGTGCGCGTGTGCATGTCCCCCTCACATTCGTTAATGGCGTACATGTCCACGCGATCCTACTGTTCTTCTAAATTCTAATTGCTCACTGCGAATTCCTGAGCTGCTTGACTTGACTGCATCCGTGTCGTCATCGAAGACGATGCGCGTGTGTGACTGTGGTGGAGAAGGGCGAGGGTGGGGGAGACCACGCGTGCTCCACGTTTATCTTGGCGCTTGGGTTTGTGCAAAGTGCACGAGCAAGACGGTTTTCGTCCTAGACCATTCGATTCCGACGGGGCCGTCCAAAAGATTTCGTGATCTTCCGGTCGATGGATCGGTGAAGTTTGCGTTTGGCGGCGGCGCCGGCGCGGTGGAAAGGTGAACACTCGTGTGTGTGGGCGTGTTGGTCCTCGCGTCGGCGTCGGCGCGTTCCACTCTCCGCCATTAGCCCGCCGCGCGCATGAACGTCGTTTTCGGTTAACGAATCCTTCGTTGGGACTAGTGCGGTAACATTTGGTTGCGGCCGCCCCCCCCAAGGGGGGTGAAAAAATACACGGGAGCGGTGAGCGATTCGCTCTTCAAACCTCCGAAATCGCTCCGTAAATTTTTTACGAAGAGCTATTTTCCACGGACTTGAAGAGGTCGCGTGAAAAAATATTTTTCCCTGGTGGCGGCGGGCGGCGGCTGTTGGCGGCGGAGCGGCGAAGGGCGATAGGCTGCGGCCGTGCGTCGTCTGCTCACCGTCGCTCCTCTCTCCGACGTATCATCTGCAGTCGCCTTCGCGAGACGGATCTAACAACAATGAAGGGCAAGCGACTCGAACGCGCGCCGAGTATCAGCACGCGCAAGAGCTGGAGAGGGGGGCGACAACACTGCTCATCCTGGAGATCGGCTCTGACAACCAAGTTCAAGCCGCGTCCGACTACAAGTAAGCGAGAGCTGATTTATGCGCGCGCGCGACTTTTCGCGTGACTAGATGACGATGCTGCCTCTGTGCTCTGCTGCTGTGTGTGTGTTGTGTGTCGTATTAATGTTGTCATGGTATAATAGTAGTAAATATACATTGTGTGGTGGATTTGTGTTATTTTGGGGCTGGTCTCGATTTCTTTGTTTTCCGTTGTTTGTGGTTCCTCTCGCACGAGGCCCTCGATCGTCCGTTTGTTTACAGGTTGTGTTTACTCGGGCGCAGGGCCCTCGATCAATCCGTTTGTTTACGTTGTTTTGTGTTTACTTGCGCGCAGGCCCCTCGATCATTCGTTGTTTACGGGATTGTTTGTGTTTATCCGCGGCAGCCCCCTCGATCATTCGTTTGTTTACGTTGTTTGTGTTTCTCGCGCGGCAGCCCTCTGATGATCCTTTTGTTTACGTTGTTTGTGATTTACCTCACGCCAGGCGCTCGATCATCAATTTTTGTTTACGTTGTTTGTGTTACTCGCGCGCAGGCTCTCGATCATCCTTTGTTTTATGTTGTTAAGTGTTTATCGTGAAGGTCCCTGGATCAATCTTTGTTTACAGTTTGTTTTGTGTTTACTGCGTGCACAGGCCCCTGGGATCAATCATTTGTTTACGTTGTTTGTGTTTACTCGTGCGCGAGGCCCTCGATCATCGTTATGTTTACGTTGTTTGTGTTTACTCGCTGGGCAGCCTCTCGATCATCGCGTTTCATTACGTTGTTTGTGTTTACTCGCGCGCAGGCCTCGGATTTGATTGTTTACGTTGTTTGTGTTACTGTGCGGGCAGGCCTCTCGTGCATCGTTTGATTTACGTTGTTTGTGTTAACTCGTGGCGAGGCCCTGAGCATTTGCTTGTTTGAGCGTTGTTTGGGTTTTACTTGTGCGCAGGCCTCTCGTGCATCCCGTTTGTTTACGTTGTTTGTGTTTACTCGTGGCGCAGGCGCCTCGAGATTTGCTTGGTTTACGTTGTTTTGTGTTTACTTGTGCGGTCAGGCCTACTCGTGGCATAGCGTTTGTTTTCGTTGTTTTGGTGATTTACTCGTGGCGGCAGGCCCTCGATGCAATCCTTTTGTTTATGTTGTTTGTGTTTTACACGGCGCAGGCCACGTCATCCGAGTGAACGACAGAGGTTATGATCCGCAGGAGTGAGCATGACGCGGAGATCACATTTGTCGGTCTGCTCATCGGCCGCGTGAAATCACTCTGAAGAACTGGAGAAGGATGTAAGTTCTCTCTAGCGCGATTCCAAATAAGTGATCGAAGTCGCAGGCTGCGCTATGTAGGTCACAGAAAAAGGGGTAATAAATGGCGTAGGCGCGCTAGAAAGTACGTGATAATGTACACTCGTGTATTTTCTAGTTTTTTGCGTTACACAAACATTGGGCAAAATATCACCAAAGCCAAAATCATATTTGTAAATGTGATGATGGATTCGGAAGGTCTTAGGAAAAGTGTAGACCCACGTCACAATGAATGACCCAATAAACGGACATGTCAATCTAAATATGACCAGAAGCACGTGGGGACTATTATTATTTTGGATGCACTATTTTGACACGCGGCGGAAATACGAGGAACATTTTCGACAAGGCGATGTTAAATTTGACAACGCGGTGCGCACCGTGCCTCATGTATAAAAAAACCTGGTTAGCACTCTGGGGGGTCGAGGATTTAACAGGGTGGGTGTCTGTCCGCCAAGTCTTGTCGTGTCATTTGGTTTGTTTCTTTGTTGTCGGTTTCTCGGTTTTTGCATAATATTCGTGGCGCACTCTCGCTTTCTTTCTGCTCCGGGATATAGTACCCCTGAGAGTACATTCACACTTACTCTCATTTCATGCATGATGTTCAGGGGGCATTCACACATTCTCATTCTCTCTCTCTCGCTTATGCAGACTGGAGCTAAGATCATCATCCGAGGCAAGGGATCGTGCATTGGAGGTGCGCCCGAGTAAACACAAACGTAAACAAATGATTGATCGAGGGGCCTCCGTGCGAGTAAACACAAACAACGTAAACAAACGGATCATCGAGGTACCTGCGCCCGAGTAAACACAAACGTAAACAAATGATTGATCGAGGGGCCTCCGTGCGAGTAAACACAAACAACGCAAACAAACGGATCATCGAGGGGCCTGCGCCCGAGTAAACACAAACGTAAACAAACGGACGATCGAGGGGCCTCCGTGCGAGTAAACACAAACGTAAACAAACGGACGATCGAGGGGCCAGCAAAATAACACAATCACCACACAATGTAATTACTAGCTTTATTATTACATTACATCATTAATACCGACACACACACACACACAGTGCAGGCAGGCACAGAGGCAGGCATCGTCGATCTATGTCACGCATAAATCAGCTCTCGCTTACTTGTAGTCGGACGGCGGCTTGAACTCTGGGTTGTAGAGCGCGATCTCCAGGATGAGAGTGTGTCGCTCCTCCTCCAGCTTCTTGCGCGTGCGATACTCGCGCGTGTTCAGTCGCTTGCCCTCATTGTTGTAGATCGGCTCCGGCGAAGGCGACCTGCAGATGAGACGTGGGAGAGGAGCGACGGTGAGAGACGACGCACGGCCGCAGGGCTATGCGCCCTCGCGCTCCGCCGCAACAGCCGCCGCGGCCGCCACCAGGGGAACACACACACACAGTGCAGGCAGGCACAGAGGCAGGCATCGTCGATCTATGTCACGCATAAATCAGCTCTTGCTTACTTGTAGTCGGACGGCGGCTTGAACTCTGGGTTGTAGAGCGCGATCTCCAGGATGAGAGTGTGTCGCTCCTCCTCCAGCTTCTTGCGCGTGCGATACTCGCGCGTGTTCAGTCGCTTGCCCTCATTGTTGTAGATCGGCTCCGGCGAAGGCGACCTGCAGATGAGACGTGGGAGAGGAGCGACGGTGAGAGACGACGCACGGCCGCAGGGCTATGCGCCCTCGCGCTCCGCCGCAACAGCCGCCGCGGCCGCCACCAGGGGGAAAAATTCTTTTTTTTCACGGGAGCTCTTTTTCAAGTCCGTGGGAAAAATAGCTCTCGTAAAAAAATTTTTAGGGAGCGATTTCGGAGATTTGAAGAGCGAATCGCTCACCGCTCCCGTGTATTTTTTCACCCTGGCCGCAACAAATGTACGACTGTCGCCAACGAAGGTTCGTTAACGAGAAACGACGTTCGCGCGCGCGAGCGTAACGGCCAGAGAGTGGGACGGGCGACGCGACGCGAGACCAACAACGCCCACAACACGATTGTTCACCTTTCCACCGTGCCGGCGCCGCCGCCAACGCAAACTTCAGCCGATCCATCCGACCGGAGAGATCCAGCCGAATGTTTTTGTTACGGCCGCCGTCGGAATCGGAATGGCTAGGACAAAAACCGTCTTGCTCGTGCACTTTGCATTAAGAGATTGAAAAGTTGAACGCTCGGGCACGAACCCAAGCGCAAGATAAACATGGAGCACGCTGTGGTTTCTCCCCCACCCCCGCCCTCCCACCACAGTCACACACGCGAATCGTCGTCATGACGACGACGGGATGAGTGAGTCAAGCAGCTCAGGAATTCGCAGTTAGATTTCTCATCTGACGTAGGACGTTAATAGAGAAGAACAGGGTAGAATCGCGCGGACAGTTACAGCATTAACGAATGTGAGGGGGACACGCACACGCGCACGTACGCACACATACACACGCACAGCATATATCCGCAGTAACAAAACGTATTCTGGCATGGATCAGTCGAGTAACCGATTGGCGAAAGAGTAGAATTTAGCTTACCATATATACTCGCGTAATAACTGCAAATTTGGCCTCAGATTTCAACCCTGTATTTGCTCTGCGGTTTATAAGTGCGCCATACCGTGAAGGGAAATATACTAGGCGCAATACTTGGTTACCCGATTCAAATTGAGGTGCGGCTTATAGGCGCCCGCGGTTATTACGCGATCATATACGGTAGATTGTACCATAGGTCGCGACAAGGACATGTCGTTTGCATTACAGAACTGTTTTAAAAGCGGAGCTAGATCGTTAACGGCGTGAACAAGCGAGTGGCTGGTGACTGTGGCTAGGCATGTACCTGCGTTCCCATGCCTTCTTTCCTTCCCTCCAACTACCCCACTCCCCATTCAAACACCCCTCTCAATACCTGCGCTCTGAACAAGATGTGCTGTAATGCAATACAACATGCATCCTGCGCAGATATTAATCAGCCAATTACTATTATCATTATTATCATCATTATCACCATCATCGTCACTATCATCATCACTTGAAACGCGTGCATGCTTTGGTGTATAGCACATCTCCTGTCGGACCCTAAAGCTACATTCGTTTGATTAGCTCCTGCAAAGGCAAAACAGGGGCTGGCGGGTGTATGTTACGCACAGCGACATGTGATAGTGCGAGTGGCGGCCAAACCAACGACTCGAGTGTAAGGGCCTGCCGCATTCGGAGCTCACAGCAAACTGTGAAAACATCATTAGTTTCATCATCATCAACTACATAGCACAGCTGGACTTTTCGATCTCACTTATTGGAATCGCGCAGGGAGAACTTACATCCTTCTCCAGGTTCTTCAGAGTGTTTCCACGCGGGCCGATGAGCAGACCGACAAAGTTGATCTCCGGATGCTCCTCCTGCGGGATCATAACCTTGTCGTTCACTCGGATGATCGGTGGCCTGCGCGTGAGTAAACACAAACAACGTAAACAAATGATTGATCGAGGGGCCTGCGCACGAGTAAACACAAACAACGTAAACAAACGGATGCACGAGAGGCCTGCGCACGAGTAAACACAAACAACGTAAACAAGCAAATGCTCGAGGGGCCTGCGCGCGAGTAAACACAAACAATGTAATCAAACGGATGATCGAGGGGCCTGCCCACGAGTAAACACAAACAACGTAAACAAACGGATGATCGAGGGGCCTGTGCACGAGTAAACACAAACAACGTAAACAAATGATTAATCCAGGGGCCTGTGCACGAGTAAACACAAACAACGTAAACAAATGATTGATCCAGGGGCCTGTGCACGAGTAAACACTAACAACATAAACAAACGGATGATCTTCTCGAGAAGCCTGTGCGCGAGTAAACACAAACAACGTAAACAACTGATTGATCCAGGGGCCTGCGCACGAGTAAACACAAACAATGTAAACAAACGAATGCACGAGAGGCCTGCGCACGAGTAAACACAAACGACGTAAACAAACGGATGCTCGAGGAGCCTGCACGCGAGTAAACACAAACAACGTAAACAAATGAATGATCCAGGGGCCTGTGCACGAGTAAACACAAACAACATAAACAAACGGATGATCGAGAGGCCTGGCCTTGAGTAAACACAAACAACGTAAACAAACGGATGATCGAGGGGCCTGCGCGCGAGTAAACACAAACAACATAAACAAATGAATGATCCAGGGGCCTGTGCACGAGTAAACACAAACAACATAAACAAACGGATGATCGAGAGGCCTGGCCTTGAGTAAAAACAAACAACGTAAACAAACGGATGATCAAGGGGCCTGCGCGCGAGTAAACACAAACAACGTAAACAAATGATTGATCGAGGGGCCTGCGTGAGTAAACACAAACAACGTAAACAAACGGATGCTCGAGGGGCCTGCGCACGAGTAAACACAAACAACATAAACAAATGATTGATACAGGGGCCTGTGCACGAGTAAACACAAACAACATACACAAACGGATGCTCGAGGGGCCTGCGTGAGTAAACACAAACAACGTAAACAAATGATTGATAGAAGGGCCTGCGCACGAGTAAACACAAACAACGTAAACAAATGATTGATCGAGGGGGCTGCGTGAGTAAACACAAACAACGTAAACAAATGATTGATCGAGGGGG